AGGGAGAAGAGCAGAGGAGAAAGAACACGGCCCTGAGGGGAGCCGGTGCTGATGGTCCGGGAGTCCGAGACATTCTTTCCCAGCCTCACATGCTGCTTCCTGTCCGTCAGGAAGTCAGTGATCCACCGGCAGATGGGATCAGGCACATTCATCTGGGAAAGCTTGCCTCGGAGATGGTCTGGAAGGATGGTGTTGAAGGCAGAGCTGAAGTCCACAAACAGGATCCTGGCGTAGGTTCCTGGGGAGTCCAGATGCTGCAGGATGAAGTGTAGGGCCATGTTGATGGCGTCGTCTACAGACCTGTTGGCTCTATATGCAAACTGCAGGGGGTCCAGGAGGGGGGCCGTGAGGGTCCTGAGATGGGAGAGAACTAGGCGCTCAAATGACTTCATGACCACAGATGTCAGAGCCACGGGTCTGTAGTCATTTAGTCCAGTGATCCTAGGTTTCTTGGGGACAGGGATTATGGTGGAGGACTTGAAGCAGGCAGGCACATGACATGCCTGCAGTGAGGAGTTGAAGATGCCAGAAAACACTGGGGCCAGCTCGTTTGCACAGTGTCTGAGGGTGGCAGGAGACACACCGTCTGGGCCGGGAGCTTTCCGAGCATTCAGACTCCTAAACTGCTTCCTCACACCTGCTTCATGAATATGAAGAGTTGTGGTGGGAGGAGGTGGTGTGAAATCCTCTTTTGTGTGGGGTGAGGAGGGGGGTGTTGTAGGTGAACAGTTTGAAGGTGGTGATGGCTCTATGGAGGGGGGAGAGGTGGGGGAATGAGTGTCCAAAGTGTCTATATTGTTGGGGCCGTTGGAGGTGTGAAGGCTGCCTGATGGCTCGTCAAAACGGCAGTAGAAGTCGTTGAGGATGTTGGCTAAGAGCAAGTCATCAGTGGAGTGGGGGGTTTTAGGCTTGTAGTTGGTGATATTCCTAAAACCTTTCCACACAGAGGCCGAGTCATTCTCTGAGATCTGCTGCTGCATCTTCTCAGAGCGCTGATGTTTGGCCATGTCCACTTCTTTAGTGAACCTGTACTTGGCCTCTCTGTAGCAGTCCCTGTCTCCGCTTCTGAACGCCTTTCTCTTTTCCAGCCACAGCTTTTTGAGTTTAGGAGTAAACCAGGGTTTGTCATTGTTATAACTCACCCTGGTGCGTGATGGCACAACGCTGTCCTCACAGAAGTGGATATAGGAGGTGACAGTGTCCGTAAACTCGTCCAAGCTGTTAGAAGCAGCCTTCATTGTGTCCCAGTCTGTAGACTCCAAACACGTGCGAAGCTCCTCCACAGCCTCGTTGCTCCACAGTTTTTTAGTCCTCACGACAGGTTTGGAGAGCTTCAGCCTCTGTCTGTACGCGGGGATTAGGTGAATCATGACGTGGTCAGAAAGTCCGAGTGAAGCGCGGGGCACCGCGCGATAGGCCCCACTGATCGTGCTGTAACAGTGGTCTAATGTCCTCTCCTCTCTGGTCGGGCATTTAATATACTGCTTGTATTTTGGGAAGCTCATGGCTCAGATTGGCTTTGTTAAAGTCACCAAGAGCAATGATGAGAGAGTCTGAAACCCGTGTGATCAATGTGACAAATATGACCTTTGAATAAAGAAGGAAAACACATTTAATCTTTTTCCATGTTAATACATATTTGTAAATGAATTAAAATGTAATTATTCTGTGATTACAAAGTTAAAGTTGTCTGTTTAATCTGGTTCCATGTCGTGTTGCTGCCACCTAGTGGTGGACTTCAGAGTTGTGCTTGTGCTGCCAGCCTGAGGACTCGTGCCAGGAAAACAGGCTTGGACGATATGGACTGCAACTGCTTATGAACGTTTGGCAGAAAGGTGCACATGTTTGTGTGTTTTACTTTGTGTTACGTTTTATTTGGGTTGTAATTTTATTTTGCTGACAGAATATTTGTTTCCAGTTGTTATTTCACTGTAGTTTTTTGTGGTGTTTGCCGGTGAATGGAAGATTAAAATACAGATTAAATATGGGTTGGAGGATTATTCTAATCCAAACATCAAAAAGAATAACCTGCAGGAGCAGTTGCTAAAATCCAACCTAACTATGCCGACCTTTGCTGTGTAGAACAAACCTGCTGGAAACAAACAGCAGTCTGACTTTACTGATCATTGTGAGCAACACGGAGGTTCACAGAGGGAGGTTTGTGCTGGAGCAGCAGGTTCAGCTCGCCGTCTTCAACGCGCTCTGCTTCCTTGTTTGATGTCTGATCACAGCTCCTGACATGTGTAATGAGCAGCTTTGTTCGGACCTGTGCAGGTTTGTGTGCGTCAGCGTCACAAGCAGGTATCACGCTGGGGTTCAGACTGTTTCCAAACATCGCTGCCCAGACAGCGCACTCCCACCTCCCAGGTGTCGCCACTTCAGCACAGTAGAACGTGCTTGTGTGACAGGGCGATCGTGGCTCAGGGGGTTGGGAATCGCATCTGTAACCGGAAGGTCGCCGGTTCGATCCCTGGGCTCTCTGTCCTGGTCATTGTGTCCTTGGGCAAGACACTTTACCCTACTTGCCTACTGGTGTTGGCCAGAGGGGCCGATGGCGCGATATGGCAGCCTCGCTTCTGTCAGTCTGCCCCAGGGCAGCTGTGGCTACAACCAGAGGTGGGACCAAGTCATTGTTTTGCAAGTCTCAAGTAATGTCAGGCAAGTCAGAGTCGAGTCTCAAGTCACTGGTGTAAAAGTCCGAGTCAAGTCACAAGTCTGAAACTTTGAATTTCAAGTCCTTTCGAGTCTTTAAAAAAAAAAAATGAAAAAATAATGTTGCAGTTATGCTAAATGTAAATATTAGACCATGTAATTTTAAAATCTGTGTTTTTCTCAACACATGACAAAATAGTGAACTTAGAAAATATACACAAATTGTGAAATTGCACCTCTTTAAAATGCAGCTCAATTAAACTTAGCTCCAAGAATAATTTTCACCGACAGTTCTGAGATAAGCTGCATGTTATTCTTGGATGCGCTTGTAGGACCAGCTTTAAAATCGCATGACAAAAATATCATACATATTAAAAAAAAACTGTATCACCAACGTAGCCTGGACAACATTTGCTAGTTAGATGAAGTCAGCTATCTCATCTTAGCATATTTATATGCATATTTACGGTTCTTGGAGTGAGTGCACACACTCATGAAGTTTAGTAACTTCAGGTCACTGCAACAAGCCCAGGTACAGTTTACCGACGGATGGGTGCAGGACCTTGAAATGCACCGTGTAGAACGAAAGACCATCGTACGTATCATAAGTTTACCAGTCTCACAAATTGTTGTCATAAATACACATTCCTTAACCGTTTATTAATAGGACCTTTGAGCTCAACGGTAATTAATTAGCAGTGGAAATAATTTCTGGTAGCATCACAGAAATGTAGCAGTGACAATAATACTGTATGCTGTAATCGTAGTGGGCAATTAGTGATACAAAAAACTGTTTTATCCTGTGAATAAAAGTATATGTTTTTGTCAATGTACCATAATAACAGAAGCGAAACGCAATATTGTGTCAGGACAATTCACTATTTATGCACAATAAACAAAGGAGCATAGCGCCACAATTTCTGTTCAGTGCCAGACTTGCTTGTAACCTATATCACCAATTATGTTATGAAAATGACGCATTAACTACAACAGCAGACTGACCTTTGTGTAAATGCTTGGAGCAGACTAACCTGTGAGCTGGAGGGTTCTGGGACGTTATATTTGATCTTTGAATGGCTGCAATCCAGACCATCCGTCGCGTCTTTGTTACTTCGGAAACATGGCTTGAACAATTTCTCTTCAACGACGTAATCCGATAACAACCGATCTCTTTACCCGTCGGCTTCCCGTGGCTGTCATGCGACCGGCTATTGCAGTTAATAATACAACAGCTTCTTGACATTTTTGTGTTTCTTTTTATCGCTGTGTGACTGATTTTAATTGAAAGCCTGCGTGCGCTAGTACCGCTTGACCGCTTGCCACGAGTTCCCAGAATCCTTTGCGGTTCTACCCGTGAATGACGTCACATTTTCAATCTCTATATAATATGCATGTTAAATTTTATATTTGGGGTAAAATATCAAGTCTTTTCAAGTAAACCGGTTCAAGTCCAATTCAAGTCCCAAGTCATTGGTGTAAAAGTCCAAGTCAAGTCACAAGTCTTAGAACATTTTTTCAAGTCAAGTCTAAAGTCATAAAATTAATGACTCGAGTCTGACTCGAGTCCAAGTCATGTGACTCGAGTCCACACCTCTGGCTACAACCGTAGCTGCCTCCACCAGTGTGTGAGAGTGACTGAATAGTGGCATTGTAAAGCGCTTTGGGTGCCTTGAAAAGCGCTATATAAATGCAATCCATTATTATTATTATTATTATTGTGTAAGCGAGGCAGTGCTCAGGTGGCGTCCGTTTGGGCGATCCTCTGCGATCATGTCTGAGCTGTGTGCTGGAATCAGGGAAACCCGAATCCTCTTCTTTGATCGGGGTAAAAAACCTGCACTGGTTACCCGAGCTGTAACCCTGTGTGTGTCCTTCTGTGCGAGTGGACTAATGCAGCCTGATCACTCGTGTTTGTTCAGACGACTTCCTGAGAATCTGGTTGTGGAGTTCTCTGGAACAGATTTTATGAGACTGTTTGGGATCGTTTCCAAATTCCAAAGAAGACGTCAAAGAACCAGTTTCATAACTGAACATGAGATATTTGTCTGTTTATGTAACACGTCTTACTGTGGGACGTCTAAATTTAGACGTCTCGTGTAAACAAAACAGTTTGTCTGTATTCCAGGTGTGGCACAACAACAGCCTGAGACATGGGGTGGGGCAGAAAAGGAAAGCTTGACAGCCACAGTCACAACAGGATACATCAGCTTGTCCCGATTCTGAGGGAACAGAGAGGGAACAGAGGGAACGTCGGCTAACGTGGGAACGTCGGCCCACTTTAAAGATGGACGTGGTTTCCTGCAACGCTCCTCAGCATCTACAGACTTCAGAGAAGACTGACAGAAACGAGCCGTTCACTTTTCTGTTTATTGATCTTTGAAACATCACATAAGTACACATTTGTTTGGACTTTCTGTGTCCTCCAATCAGACACTGTCTGGAAACAGGAAGCAGTGAATCACGCTGAAAGAGTCGGAGGGTTTGCTGCCATCAGGTGGCCACACTGAGGAACTACAGCTGCACATTCAAATCAAACTTTATACACAATTACACAAAAACATCACAGTCATCATAAAAGCATCTGTCAGAGCGTGCAACCACGGTCATCAGAGCGTCACAGCCAGAGCAACGACCCGCCTCCACAGTTACACACACAACAGGAAGTGTGTCGCACAGTCAGACATTTGTGTTTATAACATTTACAACATGCACAAAGTTTAAAAACACGTTCACGCTGCAGGCATGTGACTTTTGGAAGAAGGCGGAGCCAAACCAGCCCGGTCAGGTTCCAGTTAAAGTCTTTAACCAGTGAACAGCACCACCCTCAGGCAGGGAGGAGCACAGCGGGAACATCACTGATGCCTGGGTCAGAACTACAGCCAAACCTTTGACCCCGAGTGCAGCACATGCAGGATAAAGGAAAGAAATGTCACAACTCGAAGAGAAGCGAGAGAAAGCTCCCTCTACCATTACTCTGAAAACACATCCACTCTAGCCCACCCCACGAGTGGACGCTCTCCATGCCACTCAGCACAGACGCAATGAGGACTCAGTGAAGACTCTGAACCCGGCATACACGGGCTCAGTGAATTTGGTCTTGAAGGTGTGGAGGTGGGTCAGAGTGTCAGAGGAGACCTTGAGGAAGGACAGAGTGCCAGCGTGACAGTCCACGTACACTGCTGCCCTACTAGAGTCGGACAGGGAGGATGAGGAGTAGGAGCGCGAGGAGAGTGCCGTTTCTTTGCCGTCGTGCCAGACGGCGTATGTATCGGAGCAGTACAGACTCCACGACTGGTTGTTCCACCCGAACAGGGTCTCGTTGCTGTCTCCTTTCCTTCTGATCCCTCTGTAACTCACCGCTATGTAAACCTCGCCGGTCCACTCCACCTCCCAGTACCCGCGACCCACCAGCCCATCTCTGCACAGCAGCTGAGCCCGGTCGAATCTGTCGGGATGATCGGGATACCGCTGAGGCTCCGACAGATACTCCACTTTCTTGGTATGGTGGGACAGTTTGAGTTTCCTGTTCACCGTGTTCATGTCGATGGTGAGCTGACAGCAATCTGATGAGAGAACAAACACAATCCAGCTACAGTCAGTCATCCAGGCCTCGGCGGTCTCAGGAGCCAAACCAAGACCACCGGACTTCTCCGAGTTTGTCCAGACGTTTCATCCGAGAGGCTGCTTCAGTTCTAAAGCCAGAAGGTGGACTACACTGACCTGGACCACTGCTCCAAAAGGTCAAAGGCCACTCCCTGAGGATGCCAGTGTTCACATTTCATCACATCTGTGTCCACTTTGGACAGAGGGCGTGGCTTACGACACAGACTGTGCACGACCTACAGTCCAGCCTGAGGTCAGGTGATCTCAGTATGGCAGGGTTACATTGCTTCGCCTTAGCTCATGAGATGAGTCACCATTGAGGGACACTCCCACCGGCGTTTAAATACCGTTTGGTCCAAGAACTGAAGCAGCTCCTCGGATGAGGCGTCTTCAAGAAACTTAAAGAAGTCCTGTCTGTCCAAGCTCGGCAGAATGAGTGATGGGACCGTGCGCTGTTTGAATCACATTAAAAACACACTTACACTTCTTCAGCTCTGACCTCACCCATCGGACTCCAGCAGGCTCCGCCCTGAAAGCAGGAGGGGGTCAGCATGCACACTTGGACATCACATGGCTGTCATACTGTTATAGACAGGCGTGATGGAGCGGGGCTCTCTGTGCTAGCTAGACTGATTCTTGGGTTTCCTACAGTGACAGGCTGTTCCTTCAACATGCAGAGATCTACAGCCATGGAGGGGAATGTGAGGCTTAAAATAAAGAAGCAGAGAGGAGAGGCTTTCCGCTCTCCTCTTTCAGTCCTCCTCCTCCTACCTGAGAGCGTCCGGTCTCCCGCGTGGATCCTCAGGTCGTGTAGGCACCTGCACGTTTCCTGTAAGTACATCCGGGGTCAAAATGATAGGTTTACACTTTTCACAGCACCTCAGAAAAAAATTCAATTCAATTCAATTTTATTTATATAGCGCCAAATCACAACAAAAGTCGCCTCAAGGTGCTTCATAGATACAGAGAAAAACCCAACAATCATATGACCCCCTATGAGCAGCACTTTGGCGACAGAGGGAAGGAAAAACTCCCTTTTAACAGGAAGAAACCTCCGGCAGAACCAGGCTCAGGGAGGGGCGGGGCCATCTGCTGTGATTGGTTGGGGTGAGAGAAGAAACAAACACGAGAAGGAACTCTGTGTCTGTCCTCATGCAGCACATCACAGACTGAAATCAGTCCGAGCGCTGAAGCTGCATTTATATGAACACAGGTTTATAATCCAGGTGTCACAGTCTCACACACAACCTCGTGTTTCTGCACTCACCTGGAAGCAGGTAGAAGGGCTTCGTCAGGGTGTGTAATTGCACGCTCGGCATCAGCTGCTGCATGCCTGGCACACGGAAGCACTGCATGACCTGTGGGTCAGAAATATCACACTGTGACCACGCATCAGCTCCACGAACAGGAGGACCAGAACGTGTCTCTGAGCCAGCTCCATTACATCGGAGGCCCAGGGAGGACGAGGGAGGACGAGGGAAGATGAGGGAGGGAGATCCAAGGAGGCCCAGGGAGGACAAGGGAGGACGAGGGAGGGCGAGGGAGACCCAAGGAGGCCCAGGGAGGACGAGGGAGGACGAGGGAGGACGAGGGAAGATGAGGGAGGGAGATCCAAGGAGGCCCAGGGAGGACAAGGGAGGACGAGGGAGGACGAGGGAGACCCAAGGAGGCCCAGGGAGGACGAGGGAGGACGAGGGAAGATGAGGGAGGGAGATCCAAGGAGGCCCAGGGAGGACAAGGGAGGACGAGGGAGGACGAGGGAGACCCAAGGAGGCCGAGGGAGGACGAGGGAGGACGAGGGAGGGCGAGGGAGACCCAAGGAGGCCCAGGGAGGACGAGGGAGGACGAGGGAGGACGAGGGAAGATGAGGGAGGGAGATCCAAGGAGGCCCAGGGAGGACAAGGGAGGACGAGGGAGGACGAGGGAGACCCAAGGAGGCCCAGGGAGGACGAGGGAGGACGAGGGAAGATGAGGGAGGGAGATCCAAGGAGGCCCAGGGAGGACAAGGGAGGACGAGGGAGAACGAGGGAGGACGAGGGGGGGAGAACGAGGGAGGATGAGGGAAGATGAGGGAGGACGAGGGAGAACGAGGGAGGACGAGGGGGGGAGAACGAGGGAGGATGAGGGAAGATGAGGGAGGACGAGGGAAGATGAGGGAGGGAGATCCAAGGAGGCCCAGGGAGGACGAGGGAGGACGAGGGAGAACGAGGGAGGACGAGGGAGGGAGAACGAGGGAGGACGAGGGAAGATGAGGGAGGGAGATCCAAGGAGGCCCAGGGAGGACAAGGGAGGACGAGGGAGGACGAGGGAGACCCAAGGAGGCCCAGGGAGGACGAGGGAGGACGAGGGAGGACGAGGGAAGATGAGGGAGGGAGATCCAAGGAGGCCCAGGGAGGACAAGGGAGGACGAGGGAGGACGAGGGAGACCCAAGGAGGCCCAGGGAGGACGAGGGAGGACGAGGGAAGATGAGGGAGGGAGATCCAAGGAGGCCCAGGGAGGACAAGGGAGGACGAGGGAGGACGAGGGAGACCCAAGGAGGCCCAGGGAGGACGAGGGAGGGAAAGGGAGACCCAAGGAGGCCCAGGGAGGACAAGGGAGGACGAGGGAGGACGAGGGAAGATGAGGGAGGGAGATCCAAGGAGGCCCAGGGAGGACAAGGGAGGACGAGGGAGACCCAAGGAGGCCCAGGGAGGACGAGGGAGACCCAAGGAGGCCCAGGGAGGACGAGGGAGGACGAGGGAGGGCGAGGGAGACCCAAGGAGGCCCAGGGAAGACAAGGGAGGACGAGGGAGGCCCAGGGAGGACGAGGGAGGACGAGGGAGGGAGAATGAGGGAGGACGAGGGAAGATGCGGGAGGGAGATCCAAGGAGGCCCAGGGAGGACGAGGGAGACCCAAGGAGGCCCAGGGAGGACAAGGGAGGACGAGGGAGAACGAGGGAGGACAAGGGGAGACCCAAGGAGGCCCAGGGAGGACGAGGGAGGACGAGGGAGGGCGAGGGAGGGCGAGGGAGACCCAAGGAGGCCCAGGGAAGACAAGGGAGGACGAGGGAGGCCCAGGGAGGACAAGGGAGGACGAGGGAGGGAGATCCAAGGAGGCCCAGGGAGAACGAGGGAGGGAGGACGAGAGAGGCCCAGGGAGGACGAGGGAGGACGAGGGAGGACGAGGGAAGATGAGGGAGGGAGATCCAAGGAGGCCCAGGGAGGACAAGGGAGGACGAGGGAGGACGAGGGAGAACGAGGGAGGACGAGGGAGGGAGAACGAGGGAGGACGAGGGAAGATGAGGGAGGACGAGGGAGGACGAGGGAAGATGAGGGAGGGAGATCCAAGGAGGCCCAGGGAGGACGAGGGAGAACGAGGGAGGACGAGGGAGGACGAGGGAGGGAGAACGAGGGAGGATGAGGGAAGATGAGGGAGGGAGATCCAAGGAGGCCCAGGGAGGACAAGGGAGGACGAGGGAGGACGAGGGAGACCCAAGGAGGCCCAGGGAGGACGAGGGAGGACGAGGGAAGATGAGGGAGGGAGATCCAAGGAGGCCCAGGGAGGACAAGGGAGGACGAGGGAGGACGAGGGAGACCCAAGGAGGCCCAGGGAGGACGAGGGAGGACGAGGGAAGATGAGGGAGGGAGATCCAAGGAGGCCCAGGGAGGACTAGGGAGGACGAGGGAGACCCAAGGAGGCCCAGGGAGGACGAGGGAGGGCAAGGGAGACCCAAGGAGGCCCAGGGAGGACAAGGGAGGACGAGGGAGGACGAGGGAAGATGAGGGAGGGAGATCCAAGGAGGCCCAGGGAGGACTAGGGAGGACGAGGGAGACCCAAGGAGGCCCAGGGAGGACGAGGGAGGACGAGGGAGGGCGAGGGAGACCCAAGGAGGCCCAGGGAGGACGAGGGAGGACGAGGGAGGGCGAGGGAGACCCAAGGAGGCCCAGGGAGGACGAGGGAGGACGAGGGAGGGCGAGGGAGACCCAAGGAGGCCCAGGGAAGACAAGGGAGGACGAGGGAGGCCCAGGGAGGACGAGGGAGGACGAGGGAGGGAGAATGAGGGAGGACGAGGGAAGATGAGGGAGGGAGATCCAAGGAGGCCCAGGGAGGACGAGGGAGACCCAAGGAGGCCCAGGGAGGACAAGGGAGGACGAGGGAGAACGAGGGAGGACAAGGGGAGACCCAAGGAGGCCCAGGGAGGACGAGGAAGGACGAGGGAGGGCGAGGGAGGGCGAGGGAGACCCAAGGAGGCCCAGGGAAGACAAGGGAGGACGAGGGAGGCCCAGGGAGGACAAGGGAGGACGAGGGAGGGAGATCCAAGGAGGCCCAGGGAGAACGAGGGAGAACGAGGGAGGGAGGACGAGAGAGGCCCAGGGAGGACGAGGGAGGACGAGGGAGGACAAGGGAGGACGAGGGAGGGAGATCCAAGGAGGCCCAGGGAGAACGAGGGAGAACGAGGGAGGGAGGACGAGAGAGGCCCAGGGAGGACGAGGGAGGACGAGGGAGGGAGAACGAGGGAGACCCAAGGAGGCCCAGGGAGGACGAGGGAGGACGAGGGAGACCCAAGGAGGCCCAGGGAGGACGAGGGAGACCCAAGGAGGCCCAGGGAGGACGAGGGAGGGAGAACGAGGGAGGACGAGGGAGACCCAAGGAGGCCCAGGGAGGATGAGGGAGGACAAGGGAGGACGAGGGAGGGAGGCTCAGGGAGGGAGACTGAGGGAGGCGTCACTCTTCAGTTTGAAAACGAGTATTTGTAGGAGCTTCAATGCTCCAGGTTCTGTAACAGGATGGGCTCTTTGGCTCTTTTTCCCCGACACGTTTCCTCCATTTATGGAGTAAAAGGCCAAATGGGCGGGGCTTTGAGCACCACCTGTGGTCACCTGTCTGGTTCTCAGACCTTCGTCGTGTTTTCAAAGAGTTCAGAATATTCTTAAACGTACTTTTTTGAAGAGTTCATCGATGGGATCCTGGACGCACCGACTGCTGAACACCTCAGCGATACTTTGGATGAAGAAGGAGCCGTACGCCGGGTGTTTGTATGCAGCTATGTCTGCAAACACAAACAGGTGTGAACAGCTGTGTGTGACAGTGATCAGTACTGGATGCTGCAGGACTCACGAGGCGCGCTGCAATGAAGAGTGATGAAATCCTTTTCTGTGTGCAGCCGAGCAGCTACATTTACTGATCGAGCTCTCATGTTATCTGTGGGCACAGGCGGTCTTCCAGGTACGAGCACTGAAACAGACAACGCTTAGTGAAACGCCATGTTCACAGCAGCCGCCAGCAGCGCGCGAGCGGAGACTCACCTCCTCTGGACGCCTGAATGATGACGATCTTCGGTTTGTCCTTCAGCGCGGGACAGTTTCTAGAGTTTAAGCGCTCATAAATTCGGTCAATTTCCATCCTGTGATTGCCCGTTCCACAGATAGTTCCCATGCCTCCGTGGGACATGACAACAACAAACACGCTGTCTGTGAGGGGCAGTGTCGGACGTCTGCTAAACCTTTTCAGAGCTTCGTCCATTTTCTGTAAGAGCAAAAAGTCAGACGTCAGTCGTTGGGTCGCTGTGGAAAAGCAGTGCAAGCCTCAGTGAAGGAAAGTTACCTGTGCAGGTAGGTTCCGATGTCTATCCACCTCGTATCCCAGAGTGTGGAGCAGGTTGACCACGGCCTGCTCATCTTTGTCAGCCCCGTGTCTGGTTAATGCCGGATTGTAAAAATGCATGTTGTTGATCAGCAGGGCGACACGCTTTGTCCGTCGGGGCACATTTGTAGCCTGGATGTTTCTGGTCATGTTGTCGGTGCTCATCGCCATCGCTGCCCTGCGAGAAGATCAGAGGACAGAATCGGCTCAGTGGATCCGTCATGAACAGCTGCTGAATGAGCAGCGCTGCTCAACACGCTGCTCAACACGCTGCTGAACACGCTGCTCAACACGCTGCTCAACGCTGTCATCCATCACAGACGCCACAGTGATGCAGTGCACAACATTACCACATTATAAATAATATTATTGTTACTGTGTAAAGGAGGCAGAAGTAAAAACGTCCACATGTACACACGATCAGCACCGAGCTACAGGCTTTGTTCACTGCTCGCTTTCTTTGCTTGCATCAAACTTTGGATATTTTTTCTCTATGAAATAAACATGTTAGTGTAATGACAGCTGTAGTGTTGTAGGTTCAGCCTTGTTAGTCCTGTCTGTAAATGAAAGTTCTGCCACAGAGATGATCTCAGGTGAAAGTAGCTCCGCCTCCCGGGTCTGAACGGCAGGTTCATTCAGCCTGATGCGCTTTCAGCCTGCACGTGTGCGATTACACTGTAGAGTAATCACTTAAATCCTCATTCAGAGTGTGTTACTATAAAATGTGATTCACTGTGAGAGTAGTATGACATATAAACTACAATATACAGCATCATTTTTAACTTAAGGAGTAAGTTGCAGCCACAGTAAAATTTAATTCCTTGAACTGAATGGAACCTCATATATTAATAAATGTATTTGTTTATTCAAACAATGTGAAACATTATTACAGCCCACTTTGTATCAAACAGCCAGTCTCACTCTTACCAAAAAGAATATTCAAGTATACTTTAAAAACTAGAAAACAAGCAAGTATACCTTTAGTTTACTTTGTATGTATTTTCTTCCTTTTTTAGACCAAATTACATTTAAGCATCAGCATCTTTTACCTTTTGAACAGAGTAAGTGGGGCAAATCATTAATTTAAAAAATGAAATTTTGCAAACCGTGAGTGAAAAGGGTCAATAGTTAATAAACCTCAACTCTCAAAACACTTTCTCACCTGTTCACTATATGATTCTGGTGCTTGAACTATGGGAGCAGTTCTTTATAAATGAAGCCTTCTGATAGTTAGAACTGATATCTGATATCTGGGGAATGAAGAGATTTGTTACATGTGAAAAATATGTTTCAATTGCATTTTAATTACTGTTTTTCAATCAGAAGTAACTCCAGTGTAAACTAAAAAGTAAATTAATAGTATACTTGTAAGGTTAGTATTGTGATAGTCGAGTATATTTTAATTATACTCTTGTAGACATTATGACATTATGCTAGTACATTTATGGTGAGCAAAAAGTACATCTCAAAGTTAATTTCAAGAATACTGTTGTGTACTAAAACGGGGGCCAATAAAGTCCCCAGAAGCATTATTAGTATATGTACTAGGTTGGGAAATATAATTGAAGTATGCTTGTTTTTGTATGGCCAGCAACAAAAACTAATGGCTACATTTAGAGTAATGTTTAAACATGACTTCATTTAGCAGGATGTTGCTTTTTTCTCTTCTTATTCTTTCTTATACTGGACCTTCATTTGTTTTGTATAAGGTGGTACTTTTTAAGACACCTCTGCCTAACGAGTGAACTGACCTAATAATATGCTCTGGTCGTCATTTTACACAAGGTGTCACATCCATGAAACCTACACCACTAACCAGCATCAGTCCTACAACTTCACTCTCAAAATTAATAAATTCTGGGACATCAGAAACTGTATTTTTAGCGGTGCATTTTGTTGCAGGCCAGACTGCTATTAAATGCTCTCCTAAAGCAATAATTCCTTTGTAGCACCACTTCGTCTTGGTTCAGGAGAGATGTCCTGATATACGTGATAATGTAACACATTATCACAGTTTAGCGCGTTGGGTTGTGTTTTTAAAGCTTTTTAATGCGATAGCCGACACCACACCTTCACCTGACGTACAACGTGACGTATGACGCACACGTCGGGTATACACTTTCAAAACAACAATGGGGATAGAAAATCGAGGTGGTTAATGCTCCTTTCGCTGGTTGCCAACCACCATTAAATAACAACAAGAAGAAAATATTGATCTGCTTCTCTTAGTTTTGCACGTTTAAGACGCGATTCAGACTCAAACAAAGCTGCAAAGCAGGAGAACAACATGGCCATCAAATATTCTGTGCCACAGATACAGTTCGCTGCAGCACAGAGTGATGATGAGACCGTTAACATGTGCAACTTAGAAGTAGTCAGAGGTAACTGGATGTTCAATCGGGTTAAATGCAAGGTTGATTGGATTATATCTGAAGGTCGTATGCTATTCGTGGTAACTCTGCTAGACTCCAAATTGCTGCTCGTCCATGTGGGAGTATCTCAAAATTAAATGAAACCACTTAACACTTTTTCCCTAAAACGGACTGACATGGCACACATTAAAGTTGGATCGGAACCTGCTAATCAGTCTGAAGGTAAGTGTTTTTTTCACTTATTCGAGAGAAGTCCGAAATGCGTTCTTAGTACTGTTTGTTTTGACTTTTAAGCTACCAGGATATTTTCATTTAAAGACAAAATGTCAATATCTATGAATGTGGAGACTCAAAAGACTAGTTAGGTAATAGTTGCCGGTGGATTTATGAGACTTGATAGAAACTTGGACGTTTGCAACAGGTGAATCGGTGAACTACCGAGGTTGCGCCCAAATGCTTAAAGCTGGTCAGTGTTTTCAGGTGTGCTTGTACTACCTGTACGGAGCGGAGTACTGACTAAGTCATGTTAAACCCATTAAAGCGTCGAGCTCAAATCATTTTTGTGCACTGCTCTCTTGTCGGCACACATTTTCTCTTTATTGAAGCCTTTTGTGAATAATTTTGATCATGTAAAAACTGGGAATTGGTCCCTATTGACAATACTCTTATTTTTTGCATATGTCATTTAGGAAAGGTAATTGGTCACTGAACTTTCTGCAACTGTGTGTATTTCTAAATTTTGTGGCTTCAGTGCACGCAAATTTATATTGTTCAGTTTGCATGTTAAAAGCCACAAACATTAGCTCACTATAGGCTTTCCTGTGGAACTGAGAACTGCCCTGCCACTTTCAGGACATTTTCTGCCTTCATTCACATGCCTAGGAACAAGAAGGGAGACCACTGAGGAGGAGTTTTATAAGTTCACTGGTGACCTCGGCTGTCAAGTTCGTGGATGTGGGTATGCTGCATAAAACACGGTGAGTTACTGGTTAATATATTGCAGTTTATTGCCTTGCAGCGGGCTTACAGTGACATGCCGTGAATAAACGGTAGTATACCAATTTATTAATCACAGTATGACGTTACTTTGTTGACGTAATTTACAACATAACGTCACTGTCGCCAGTGAGATACCGTAAAAAAGGCTACGGTGCGTTACCATAGTGCTACCACACCAGCAAACACGGTGTCATCCTGCAGAACGGTGAGCTACCGTAACACAGCGACGCCAGTATGTTACCGTGAAGTGGCGATGAAAAGTCAGTGCTGCACACTCACACGCATGCGCTCTGTTTCATCGCAGGGTCAAACGCACACATGTGATCACGTGATCATGGCGCTGCATCCTTCAGAGGCATTTCCACATGTTACCCGAGCGATGTCCCCATGAACTAGGGTGACCAACCGTCCTCTTTTTTGCACTCGCTGACTATATGACACTTTTTATTTCGCCATTCATTAACCGCACAGAGAAGGAATGTTTCAATATGTTAAAGTTTTCTTTAAGCCAGCAGTATTATTAAAGTTCTTCAGGACTGGGCCAAGTGTTTTCTTTATTGGAAATCAATGGTCACCCTACCATAACCAGCTCCACGGCGCCGTCGCGGTACAGCAAGATGGCGCCACGAGACGACTCGCTTACGTTTCAGCTGCCGACGTGTTTGAAGCCAGCAGCACACACATGTGACCTGACATCTGCTTCTCACCTTGATATATGATCTTTACTGGAGAGGCCAAAGGAGCCCTCTCAGGCTGGGTGGGAGAAAACACGCCGGGGGTGGGCACCGCTGCCCGCCGCCTCCCAGCAGACACGCCAGTGGTATGAGTTCAAAACTCTACATGTTATCGAGCTATTGCATTCACAGGTTCCTTTTAGCTGACACACCCGTGCTGTTCTCGAAGCTGTCGTTCTCGACTGCGCCCGGCCTGTCCGCCCGCGGGGCACAGCGGTACCCCATCAGGTGTTGACGGCTGCTAACGGCGGCTGGAAGCTTTGTGACTCTGACGCTGGAACTTTTTTGCTGGTTGGACTTTTGTTGGGTCACAGAAATAGTGGAAGAAGATGAAAGTTTCCAGAAATGAAGGTAAATGTTAGGAAAGAAACGACTGCAGTTTAAAGCTGAGAAAATACCAAATCTATCAAATCACGTCGCCTCGAGTCATCAAGGAACCTTTCCAGGATTAACATTTGATAGGACGCTCCTGAAGCGTCGCTCAGCAGTCAGAGTCCGAGCTGAGGATCACTCAGAAACCTCGGACACGGCTGGAAGCTGTCAACGACACAAAGCAACACAAAGCAGAAGGGAGACTTACAGCAGGGAGTCCCGTCCTCCTCCGATGAACGCTTCAGTCTGCCGAGAGCTGCAAACAGCTCCTGCGTGGCGCCGTCGGCTTTTATATCCCCGCAGATTCTCCGTGCCAGGTTTTGTTCCAGATGACTTCCTTGGAAACTCGTTATTCAGTTCTCTGGAAGAGCTTTTGAAAGATTGTTTGGGACATTTCCAAATTCTCAAGAAAGCGGTCCAAGAGCCAGTTTCATATTTGAATATCTGATATTTCCCTGTTTTTCAGTGCAGGTCACTTTTCTGTGTGTGGTGTCCAATCACAGCTGAGGCTGCTCAGTGCTGGCTCACCTGGAACACAGGTACACTGTTGCAGCTGCATCTACACTTGATCATGCATCACGCAGTGCTGCTGCCTGAGGCCCTTTGATTGTGTGATAGAAACAGTTTACCTGTATTCCAGGTGTGCCACAACTAGCAGCCTGAGGCTCCGGGTGGGACAGAAAGTGAACGTTTCACAGCAACAGCCCGAGGCTGCGGACTCGCACCGACAACCTATTTCTGTCCTGTCTTTGCCTTCGTGTTGTCGGTGAGAGGCCGCATACAGCCCCACCTCTGCCCATGTGAACAAGCCTCGTCTGTAACTGTCGGCACGATGGAGCTTTGTGAAAAAGAGAAACTGTGAGCAGGGAGCTGTGCAGGAGCATGCCCACGCTGGCATCGACCACAGAAACGCCCACACCGAGCAGCGCCTGAAACAGCGAGGCCTCGGGTGCAGCAGCCTGTGCATGAACATCAACAATCACACACAGGCCTTAAATCACTTCACAGTCCGTCCCACAAGATCATAAAACACTTGATTTATAACACATCAAACAGGCTTTATCAGCTGCAGACAACATCCCATAACACAGCCCAGGATCACAGCAGGGTGGAACAGACACAAGCAGCAGGCAGACATGATGCATGTAGAGCTGGAAGTCTCTTCTTGCTTAGCAGAAACGGTTACGTATGTACGATTATGGAACGATGTGAAATGCATTGCTGACTGCACGTGCAGTACAACCTTTACTGTAGCTGATACGTATGATAGATCATTACTCGAACATCAAGTTAGAAACTTAAAATGAAAAAGAATGAATTGCATGAATGAAACGTTCCTGTGAGCGAGTGGTCCCAGCCTTCATTCAGGTATGAAGCAGTCCAAACAGAAGTGTTCAAACCCTGTGGATGCTCTCCACTCGTCCCAGGTGTGCCCACTTGCTTTTGCACAGCCCTCTGTCTCTGTGTTTGCTGTGATTCGTCACAGTAACTGTCCCGGGTTTGTTTGTGTGAGCAGTCTGTCGCTGCTGTTTCTTTGTTACAGATTTGTTTATACTTTGTTCTTTCTTTCAGTCTTCATGAGGGTCAGGTGTGAGGAGAGGCCTCATTTCAAAGTGCTGCTGATGTCAGACGTGACATCAAGAGGAGGGGTTTCTTCTACCACAGACATCCTTCCTTTTGTTTGTTTCAAGGTCTCTTTTTTCATAAATAGAGCCGTTTGTGTAAATGTGTGAGGAGGTTTTTGCCATTTTCAGTCATCTGTGTAGAGGTTTAGGTCCCTCAGCTTGCCGGACTAATTGAAGTGAGATTAATTGGCCCTGTGTACAGTCAGTCTCTGCCAGAGTCAGGTGAGAGAGCAGAGGTGAGCTGTGTCACCAAATCCTTTTGAGTTGTGTTACCTTGGGTGGAAGTTTTGTTGAGTTTCACGTATGATAGGGTCCACTGTAAACCTGAAATGTCTGCTTCCCTACCGCCCTCCTGGACGCTGAGTCTGACCACTTCACACCCACACAGACGGTCGGCAGCCAGCGTAGCAGCTGATGACAGGAGTTACTGAGCTCCTCTGTTTGAGCGAGTCAGCGGTGTGACTGCAGAGTTTTGGACGCTCTGCAGACGAGCCGGCCGCCTGCTGTAGACATCGAACACAGACCAGAAGACAAAGGCACGCACTGATGATGCTCTTCATCTGAAACCCACAAACACACTCGCAGATAAGCTCTCATCCACGTCACAGCACCTCACCCACTGAGATAAATCCACAGTTTTGTCTCTGACGTTAAACACCACCACAGTCCGGTCACATTACATGTTTCAGCCAGGCCCTCGTAGCTGACTGAATCATATTCCTTTACTAAAAATGGCAGAAGATCATGTGACACATTACCTGTGTGACTCAGCGCTGCCACCATTAAAAGGATGAGTGCTGGTTTTCACTGGTCTCTAATAAAGCGTCTCTACTAGACTCCAAAAGCCAAACCACAGCCGAGGTGTCCGAGCACCACACCTGTATCGGTGCCTGTCTGAAAGTGGGCGGTGACTGGCTGCACAGGTGAAAGTGCTGAAATGCAGCTGAGGTTTCAGAGTGTGAGGGACCCGAGGAGGGAGCGCTGCCTCTCTCACGGCCGATCGCCACAAAAGCTGCTCGAAACTCATCCTTCGGTGTGTGGGCGGAGCCACTGAAGAAAAGCATCACTGTGCTCGTGTTCAGTGGAGACCGTCAGCACTGATGGATGACTGTTCGCTGCTCGCTGTGTCAGACCCGTCCTGCAGGTAAATGCTGCATCAGCTGGAAGGACCGATGAGTTCAAAGAGGCTCTGCGATCGATGACGGCGTGAGATCGTCACGATGACGCTGAAACTTAATCAGAGAGAACGCCGCGAAGCCGCCTGGAGCTGTCGTTAGGGCAGCAGCACTGAAGCAACATCGTTGATCAGAGATCATTGATCAGTGGCTGCTCATCAGTTTCCATGACAACTTGCACATAGGTGATAAAATTGATGGATGACAAAAATGTGAAAATATTCAGTCACTGGAAATCCTGTAACCCACCTGTCACTGCTTCGTCCCTGCACATCGACAAAGTAAAACAACTTTGTTTTTCTGCTGTGTAGTTTTGTTTCTGAGGTTTGCCACACATGGCAAGCTCCACACCTCACCACCAGGCGATTCACTTTACTTTGCAGTCACTACTTTATTATACTCATTGTTTAATATTGTTTCTTTATTAAAGTTGTTTTTCCATCACACCTTCCAGTGTTTATATGGCGTGCACACATATTAACGAAGTCTACACCGCCACGTCCTTAAAATGCAGGGAGACGAAGGACGCGTTTGAGGGCCGCATTTCGAGCTTTGAATTGGGACAGCCTTCGTCGCGTCGCTGTGACGTAATCGGCCTTAAAATGCGGCCTTTAAGGCTGCAGACCCTGAATTGGGACACAGCCTCTGTTAGCAGCATAAACTCAGCCACTTACAACATTTCCAAACACCTTCCCACCATCCCAGCACCCACCGTGGGGAAAACACTGCATCAACTCCACCAACCTCACTGACAAGATCCAGATGAAACCATAGCGCTCTCTGATGTGGTCTCTCTCTTATAATAATAACAATTCAGATAAGAGGTAAACCAGGCGAGTGCTGTGACATTGATGCCAATAGATGCTGCTGCAAGGTCAAGGATGAGCATGGAGATGAGTCCAGAGTCAGCTGCAAGCAGAAGATCATTGGGGACTTTTACCTGAGCTGTTCCTGTGAGAAGAACGGGAGCCAGAGTGAAACTGTTCGTTAGTTATTTCCAGTGAGGTGTCCATGAACCTGTGCAGCCACCATCTTTTAAAGAATTTTGGCCATGAAGGCAGATTTGAAACTGGCCTGAAATGATTTAGATTGGAGGGTCTGAACCATTCTTTACCTGTACGGGAGTTATTGTTGAGTTTTAAGAGAAGATGGAACAGAACCAGAGATAAGAGACAAGTGTCCGATGTTAGCGATCAGCTCGCGTGATTAGGTAGAGGATCAACAGGGGGTCCACGACTCTCTTGGGGACCCTCCCACAGGGTTAAATCTGGGACTCTCTACCAGTCGCTCTTAGAACTGAAGAAGTTTCTCGGATGAAACGTCTTTAAGAAACTTAAAGAAGTCCAGACGCTTTTCTTTCTGAGCTCCTTAGACTACGACTAACATTCCTCTGTCGTTAAAATCCACAAAGACGCCGTCCACATCCACAAGACAACAGCGTGGACACTTTCCCCAAACTGAATGTCCACAGAAGCACGAGCGGCTCCACAGCAAGGCCTCATTAACCCTTCTCAGGTGAGACAGCATGGGCCACTGGTCGATCCAGCATGGAAGTCTGCTTACTGTCGCCTTCACCCAGAATGTACGATCAAAAGTTTAAGACCACCAAAAATCATATTTTGCATGTTTGGATCTTAACGAAGTTCCAAGTCGAGCTTCAACCTGCAACAAGAAGAAATGGGAGTGAGACAAAACACCTTTGAACCTTGTTTTTGGAACCTCGCAAAGATCCAACCATGCAAATATGGTTTTTGGTGATTTTTCAGGTGGTCGTGAACTTCTGATGGGGACTGTATTTGCAGACCCTTTGCAGTCTGTCCCAAGTCTGAATGAGCAAACATGCAGCCTGCTGTTGAAAGGGACTGTGCCGTGGGTACTGGCACGTCTCACCTGGACTCTCAGTGTCTCTGGTCCATGCAGCAAGCATCGCAGCACCACTGTTTCCTCCACCTCAGTCATTTTATCAGATGAGCTGCAGCAAAGACTGATTATTGAAGCTTGAGTTCGCACACCAAAGAACAGACTGGACAGAGATGCAGGAGCTCATGTTGCAACCTGTTTTTGCTCTTTCACCTCAGTATTTTTAATTTCTCCCTCACAATTGAAATCACACATTTCTATCTTGTTCTTACACCAGTGCTGACGGAGCCCTACCGCACACCGTGGAGGTGGAGCACACTGGGTCCACCAAAATAAAGCTGCACCTCCAGGTGTAGGTGCTCTCTCTCCCTCTCTGCAGGGCTGACTGGAGGACAAGAGACGGTTGCCATGGTGAAGTGGGAAGAGTGGTCTTCATATGGCCACAGGGGGCGGAGATGAGCCGAGACCCAGTTTGACCCAGTTAACCAATCACATTAAGATTGCTTACAGCCTGGGGGTGGCGCTCTTCGTCCCTGCTGAGCTGAGGAACAGACACTCCAACCTTTAACAGCTTAATAGGTTTAACAGAAGATCGTGTCTTCTCTCATGAAAGAACCAACAAACTGGTGCCGACAAAGACCATCGACTGGATAAAGAGAACCAAGGCGGCCCAAATGGAAAGGCAGGAACCATTTGGTGTTGTTAACGCTTCAGTTTGGTTAAAAATCCCGTCACGAGCGACCGATCGGCGGCTGTCAGAGAATTGTTAACAGTCGGAGTAATTAAAAAAGGAAATAGTTGTTTTGTGACGTCACCTTTGTGTTGGTGTGAAAGTCCAATCGAGGAATTGATTTTCCCATTCAGACAGACTGGGATTACCCACAATGCACCTCTGTGATATTCTGCATATTCATAGTTGAGCTGTTGGTATATATTCGCACTGTGTGGCTGTTATTGCTGCCGTGGAGCGACGGCGAGCACACAGGGCTGTAAATGTGACTTCTGTTTGAACACATCGGCTCGTCGCACTTCAGTGAACTACCGCCAGCTCGTGGTAGGCCTGAGCTAAAGGACGATCTGGCTCCATCCGGTGGAAGAAAGTGATACTGCACCCCGGGAGACGCAGGTA